GGGTTTATATGTCAATCATCGATATCGGTTCCCCCTTCCTCCTCTCCTCTCCCCCACTTGACACACTTTTTTGTAATATAAACCATAGGCAGAACAATGTGCTTAGTTACAGGCCATATGACAAGCACAACTACAGTTTATCATGAATACATTTTTCATGTTATCACAGATAATGGCAGCAATTAGAAGTGGCAAGTTAATGTACATTCCAAGTGTTCTGAAAAGAGCCCTGGTGGTGATATGGGATTACACACTGAGCTGGCTGTTAACCGTAGGGTCAGCAGTTGGAACCTGCTCTGTGGGAGAAAGACAAGGCGTTCTACTCCCATAAAAATTTATGGTCTCACTAACCCAGAAGGGCAGTTCTAGCCTGTCCTACAGAGTCGCTATGAGTCAGGATGGATTCAATGGCAGTGACTGGATGTTGCAAAAGAATGGATGAAACACCCAAAGAAGAATCAGCAAACTCCAGGTTCAGGTATGTGGCCAATTTTCCTAAACCTGCTGGATCACAATATCAACTATAAGGCACTAGATGAGGAATAGCAGGTGTTTTTTTATTTCAAATGCCAATTCCAACCAACTGGGCTGTTGTCTCCAGAGCACTCTGCTGAGAGTGTTAACAACAAAACAAATTCATTGCCATCAAGGCAAGTCTGACTCACAGCAACCCTCTTGACAAAGTAGAACTGCCCTATGTGGGTTGCTGAAGCTGTAAATTTTTACAGATGCAGGAAACCTTATTTTTCCCCTTACGGAGCCACTGGAAGGTTCGAACTGCTGACCTTGTGTGGTTAGCAGCCCAATTTATAACACACTACACCAGCAAACCTCCTGCTGAGATTGTACCATCATCTCAAACATCCAACTTCTAAGAGCAAGGAGCAAAGGACATAGCTTTTTACTTAAAGGAATGTCCTTTGTTCCTAGCTCTTAGAAGAGATGGTGCTACTAAATGAGTTTTTCCCAGCAGCAGTGAGCAGCTGCAAACCCACAGATTCTCCTGTCTTGTGATCAATGGCTACAATGGCTCATAGAGGCTCCTGTGAATCAAGCACTTCCCTGATTCTGGATAACAGACGATAACATTTTTATGTTTTCAGCTATGTCACACACTGTTCTAAGCAATTAGGGGCCCTGGTGTTGTAGTAGTTATGTGTTAGTCTGTGACCCACAAGGTCAGCAGTTAGAAACCACCAGGGGCTTCATAAAAAGATGGAGCTCTATACTCCCATAGTCTCCAAAAGTCACCAGGGCACTTCTATCCTTTCCTAGAGCAGTTATGAGTCAGTATTGACTCTATGGCACTAAGTTTGGTTTGATTTTGTTTCCAATCACTTAAGTGGTTTTGAAGGAGGCTGGTTGCACCTTTGTAGTTAAGTGCTCACAGACTGAAGGTCTGGGGTTTGAACCCACAAATTGCTCCTCGAAGGAATGATTTGGCCGTTTGCTCTCAGCCCAAAGATTACAGCCCAACACCTAACCCACAGTGCCACCAAGGTACCTTGTCATATAAAGGGCAATTTCCATTATATATATATTACATTCAGATGTTCCCATTGCACCAATTTGTCTATCATACTACAACTACTGTATAGCTAAAACACTCGATCACAAACTGAAAGGTTGGAGGTTCAAGGCACCTCTGGTAAGACAGTCTACTTCCAGAAAAATCAGCCATGGAAAGCCCTATGGGGCACAGTTCTACTGACATTCATGAGGCTGTCAAGAGTCAAGTGGACAGCAATTTTGTACACTTCACATAAGGACCATATGAAGTAAACAAGCTATTTGGTTTAAATCAAATTCAAAATATGATGGTATAAAATATAATAAGCACTACTGTATTTGTTTCCATCTCAGACATCCATAAATAAGGTAGTAAAAACTTACACTAACAAGCCTCATTTGTAAAGCATAAAGAAAATAGATATATGAATGAAACATTAAGTGAAATATGGGGCACACTGTCAGAGATTTGAAAACAAATCAGAAGTTATATAAAAAAGTACCTCACCTGTAAAAATGTTATTAGCAGTTGTTAAACTCTTTTAAGTTTTCCATTCTACAATATTCATGCACTACTGTTAGTCTGCATCTAGAGATTTACTGTTCTATTTTCCAAACAAATTCCTAGTAATCAGTTTTAATATTTTCTTCTCAATTATCTTCCACCCTACCCTATAAACACTAATGCCTCAAAATACACAAATGAGCTTATAGTCCCAATCTTAAAGTAACAACATTAATCATTTTTCTAAAAGCCATTCCTTAGCCTACAAAGTCTATTAAGCAACTCAGGACTCAGGTCCCCCCAACCCCTGGCCCACCACCACCAAACAACTTTAATTTATAAACAGTTTACAACAGGACATAGCAATTCTTAGGTTCTTGGCTCATTTTTAAAACCTAGATAAGTCATACTTCAAGATGTAACAACCCAAGAATGTAAACACAAAGGGCATCACAGACGAAGGAGAGGAGAGAGATACTAAGGCTTGCCTCACATAGAGAAAACTCTTTAGATTAACAAAAACGCTGCCTAGTAATCATGGGGCTGCTAATCTCAGGGCCGTTGGTTCATAGGCCCTAGCTACTCTGAGGGACAAAGAGGAGGCTGTGCGCTCCAATAAAGGATAAACAGCCTCAATATCCATATAAAGGATCATTATGAATCGGAAATGACTTGATGGCACTGGGTTTTCCACTCGCTGAAAGCCCTAGTAGCACAGTGGTTACACACTAAGTCGCTAGGCAAACAGTCTGCAGTTCAGTCTGAATCCACCAATCAGCTCCCAATAAATGAGGTAGTCTGTTTCCACCATGATTTTCATCCTTAGAAAGAGCATGGGGCTGTTCTACCCTGTCTTCTAAGGTGAGTAGGAGTCAGAATCAACTCACCAAGACTGCCACCAGAGACTACAGCTGTACGCATGAAAAGCCAAGGGCTAAGAAAGCCGAAAGGAAGGCAGGCAGGCCCCTTCTGTGTCCTCATAGGGAATCTTTTATGAAGAACAAAGTCAGTCACTTTTTGAAATGTATAGGCCACACAACAAAAATCCAAAAGGCAAGGGGTTAGAGTGCTAGAGTAAGAGTAGCAAGTATTCTGTTACAATTGTTTGCAGGCAGCACAGATTTAGTCCCAGGTCCCAGCCTGCACCGTTTAAACACCACCTCCGGGCTACTACTTGGTCACCTTCCTCAAAGTGTGTGTTTATTTCACCCACAGGTGATCTGCATCAAAACAACCCCCGCCCCAAGGTCCCCTTCAGCTTTTGAAGCAAACCCTCCAGAGTGCTTCTTGCATTTATAGTAGAGGCATGTGACCACACTACACTATGTGCACCAGCTGTTTCTCATTACCTCTCTGGCTGGGGCGAATGACTCAGCAACCCAACTTTCTTAAGTTATCATCCCACCTTGTCAGCCAACCAACCTACTGAACAATGGTAAACCACTTGACGCAGCCAGAGGTTATACAACAATAATACACATCACTACACGAAGGACACCCCACCATCAAGGCTGACTCACCAGGTCTTTTCTCCCGAAAGGTCTCCAAAGGCAGAAGTGACGAGCACCTCCACGCCCAGCCCAGTGTATTGCACCACTGCCAGAGACCAGGAAGAAGCAAGCGGACCTCTTCCCATTTCTCCGCTTGACCATGTGAAGCACCCAAGTTTAGGCCACTAACACGCCCGTTTATCTTCCTGAACTGTCTGAAAACAAACTACCTTAAGATGCAAACCCTCTGGGTCTTACAAACAAAACAAAACCAAACTCACGAGTCGATGTCTACTCGTAAGACAGGGTAGAACTCCCCCTTTGGGTTTCCGAGACTTACTGGAGTAGAAAACCGCCTTTTTCTCCCATGGAGCGGCTGGTGGTTTCGAACTGCTGGCCTTGCGGTTAGCAAGTCAATGCGTAACCAGTACTGCTAAAACAAATGAGCAAACTACTAAAATAACAAAAACAAACCCGGCATATTCCATGGGTAAAAGTCCCAACCCTAGTAAGAATTCTCCAAAAAGATTAGTATGTCTACATGTCTTTGTTCCTGTAAAAACGGCATTGTAGCTTGCTTGCCCCCCGGCCCCCCCACACGTTACACAATTACTAGCACACCCTTCTTCGAATGAGCCCAGGCTGAATACAGAAAGCTCGCTGCATAAAAGCATTCAGGTACAATCCTCAATGACAAGAAACTGCTGTGTAGGAAGGAGAAAACAGTTGTATTACGTTAGACGACAAGCACAAAGCTGGTGTACTCTATAACCCACAACCACTCTCACCATATTGTGCGCGTTTTAATTACAACGCGTGGGCAAAACGCCAACAAAGAGAGCCCTGGGATCGCCAGTCCACCAAACGCGGCCAGGTGCTAGGATTGCTCAAACCACCAACCTGGCCTTTTTGACGTTGATTAGTGAGGGACACACACACTCGGGCTCCAAAGAGCAGCGCCAACAGCCCGCTGGACGCCGCGACTGCGG